AGGGTAGGTGTGTCAGAGACAGTGAGTTTGGCACAGGACAGAGCAGGATTTAGGGCTGCTGAACACAGGGTCGCTAGGAGCCACAGGCGACTTGATGGCAAATAACAGTAACAACAACAACAACATAGAGCTCTTTTCTCTCCCCAAAGAAGTTATCAAAATTTTCTTTGCAGTGCTGAAAAGAAATTTATGCCAAAGCAGTTTTTAAATTTCAAATTCTAATTACTATGTATAATCTCATTTTCATTCAGACCAACAACACAAAAGGGAAATTGCTACCTTCAAGCCTGTCCTTGAATGAATCCTGTATCTTTCTATATTGCAACTTTTCCATTCTATCTGGGATATCCACCATCACCTTTTCTATCTGAATTCTATGTTCAAAGCCAAGTTCAAGGCTCTGTTTTTCCACAGAGCGTTCTCACGATTTTTCCACCACTGCTGGGAAGAAAGGAGCCCTACTGGTGCTGTAGGCTAATCATTGGGCAGTTAACTACAAGGCTGGGGAGGGAGTCAGCTCCTGCAGATTTACAGCCCCACAAACCCTAGATGAGCAGTTGTGCTCTGTCCAACAGTGTTGTTGAGTCAGAGCCAATTTAAAGGCAGTGGTGTTTGGTGTGGGTTATTTTTGATGTGGTTGTGAAGAAGGAAAGATTCCCACTGGGCTGGAGAGTTATGCAACTACTTTGTGGAAGGACAGGGCTTAGAACTGAGTTTTGATTAATTTTAACTTTTCAGAAGTTTTGCATTATTCTTCAAGAATGTAACATAAAAAAGATAATAAAACCATGAAAGATCATGATCAGTATACCAAGTACCTAGCACAATAAGACAGGGCAAGTATCATAGCATATACTTGTTATCTGCTTCAACGGAAGGCAAATATCTGTAATTTTTCACAATAATTTTTTTTTAATGGAGAAAACTGGACAACTTCAGTTTAAAATTAATCCCTGAGAAATTTATTTCACTTTTCCTATACTCAAAAATAATGAGATTTTAGTTTACTATTGAGGAATAGCCCTGTAAGACAATGATTAGATATAAACAGAAACAATCCAATTCAGACACTTTTAAAAGGTTATGAACTATTTCAATGCATAAGGAAATTATCAGACATTAAAAGCAAGGGCCAAAAGCCCACAACAACAAGAAGGCAGCCCAGCTGTACTGTTTCAATTATTCCTGCAGGGGTTGCAAAGTATGCTCCATCC